TCAAAAAGCAGAAAAGCCATCTAGAAAGAATGTGGATGAATGAATCCATCATATCATCTGATGGCTCATGAGCATTAATGATATCTAACTCTTGTTCTTCATTTAAATGTCAGTGATTCTGCATGTTGATATATAAAAGATTCAGCCTATTCTCTACTTATACATGGGGTAGTGGCATCCCCAAGTAATCTTCCCTCCGCTGTTTTAATATGGGAAACAAAACCCAGCCCCAACTGAAAAAGGGCCTGCTCCTTTGTTTATTCCCAAGAAAAAAGAAAAAAAAAAACAAGTTCTACCTCTAAAAAGATAGAGTATATGCACTTTTTTCAATTCTTCCCACTAAACACAACTAAAAACACTGGAGTTCATGTGTAAAACACACATAAGACGACTCTGGAAGTTGGAGACAACAAGGCAGATGAGCTAGGGGCCCAAAAAACATGTGGTGAGTTCTCTAGATTTTTTTTTGCTTTATAAATTTCACACTTGTAACTCAAAAAGCTAGCAACATAGAATTGCCCATGGGCACAGATGAAAAAAAGCCCCAAACAAAAGCCTATCCCCTCTAGCTAAAGGGCTGGGAAACGGAGCCTGGCAAGGCAGAAAGCCTTTAGATAATAACCACTCTGCTATAGTCAAACAGTACAGAAAAAACTATGACCCCCAGTGGAGAGCTTAGACTTCCACACTTGCCAAGCTGCTGTTACAGGTACCCCAACCCTCCGCTAGACTAGGTCCTAGAAGGCAGAGTAGGAACTGTAATTTCCATCCCCAGCTACAGTGAACACCTCAGTTTCTCCACCCCATGAGGCCAATGGAGATCAGATAGGGAGCCTGGCCTGCCTTCCCCATGCAGCAGGAAAGCAGCACCCATCCTTTCCACACTACGGTGGTGTCCATGGAGACTACATGGATAGCAGGAACAAGGCACCTCTTCTCCCAGAACTAGAGGTGCCATCAGTGGAGGCTTAGTGGAGCTGACGGGGTCTCCTGGGGAACCAGAATTCCATCCCTCACCCAGCAATAATGAAGAACCCATCCCCTGCTCGGTGTCAACAGTGGTTGAGGGGAAAACCTGTAATTCTGCCCCCACCTGCAACAATGTAGTGTGCTTTATCCCCCTAAACCCCTTTCCCCTACTGGAGTGGTATCAGAGGAAGCCAACTAAGACAGAAGCTTTAAATAAGATCCGGAGTCTCACAATACCTAAAATACTCTGGTTCAATCGAAAATCACTAAGAATCAGGAAAATCTCAACCTGAATAAAAAGACAATCAGTAGATGCCAGAAGAAAATGACAGAGATGTTATAATTATCTCACACAGATTTTCAAGCAGACACCATAAAAATGCTTCAATGAGCAATTACAAACATGCTTAAAACAAATGGAAAAAAATTTTTTCAAAACTCGGCAAAAGAAACAAGTCTCAACAATGAAACTGAAACATATATATGAACCAAAAGGAAATTTTAGAAAATTGAAATTGAAAATTACAATAACCAAATTTTTAAAAACTTAATGGATGGGTTCAACAGCTGAGAAGGAAAAAAAAAATCCATGAACTGTAAGATAGAAATTACACAATCTGAACAACAGAAAATGAACAGAAAAAAATAAAGAAAAAACTAACAGAGTCTCAGGGTCCTATAGTATTTTAACAAAAGCCTAATGTACCTATCACTTGAGTCCCAGGAAAACGAGAGAAAGAGGGCAGGCCTGAGAGAGAACTCTAAGAAGTAATGGTTGAACACTTCCCAAATTTGGCAAAAAATGTAAACCTAAAGATTCAAAAAGGAAAGCAGACTCCAACTAAGATGAACTCTTAAGAAATCCGTACCAAGACACACAGTCAAAAATCTGAAAATACAAAGAAAACCATCTTGAAAGCAGCAAGAGAAACAACTTGCCTATAAAGAAAATGTTTAGTAGAAAACATTATCAAAAACAATGAAAGCCAGAAAGAAGTGGCACATGTTTTAAGTGCTGAGAGAAAAGAGCTGTCAATCTTGATTTCAATGTATGATGAGTTTATCTTCCAGGAATGGAAGGGAAAGAACAAAGAATTTGTCACCAGCAGACCTACCTTAAAAGACTGGCTAAAGGAATTTCTCCAAACAGAAAGGAAATGATCAATGAAGGAACTTTGGAAATCAAGAAGAAAACCATGGAAAGGGGGGAATATGGGTTATTTTTAAAAATTTTTTTTATTTTATATTATGTCACCATACATCGTTAGTTTTTGATGTGATCCATTATCCATTGTTTTCATGTAACACTCAGTGCTCCATGCAGTACATGCCCTCCTTAATACCCATCACAGGGCTAACCAATCCCCCCTCCCCTCTCCCCTCCAGAATCCTGTTTGTTTCTGAGTCCATAGTCTCTCATGGTTCATCTCTCCCTCCAATTTACACTCCCCTTCATTTTTCCCTTCCTTCTAATATCGGTAAATAAAATACATCTTTCCTCTTCTCTTGAGCTTTCTAAATATGTTTGATAGTTGAAGCAAAAATGGTAACACTAGGGCGCCTGGGTGGCTCAGTTGGTTAAGCGACTGCCTTCGGCTCAGGTCATGATCCTGGAGTCCCGGGATCGAGTCCCGCATCGGGCTCCCTGCTCAGCAGGGAGTCTGCTTCTCCCTCTCCCACTCCCCCTTCTTGTGCTCTCTCTCTCTCTCTCTCTCTCTCTCTCAAATAAATAAATAAAATCTTTAAAAAAAAAATGGTAACACTAGGGGCGCCTGGGTGGCTTGGTCATTAAGTGTCTGCCATCGGCTCAGGTCATGATCTCAGGGTCCTGGGATCAAGCTCCACGTCGGGCTCCCGACTCAGTAGGGAGCCTGCTTCTCCCTCTCCCACTGCCCCTGCGTGTGTTCCCTCTCTTGCTCTCCATCAGATGGATAAATAAAATCTTAAAAAAAAAAAAATGGTAACACTATGTGATATGGTTCTACATGTATGCAGAGTAATATTTAAGGCAATTATAAAGAGAAGAAGGTAAAGGGAAACGAGGAGGTAAGATTTCTATACTTCAAAGTGGTAAAATGTTGACCCCAGCAGACTGTGATAAGTTATGTGCATATAATGCAATACCTATGCAACCACTAAATCTGTACAAAGAGATACACTCAAAAATACTATAGAGAAACCAAAATGGATTTTTTTTTTAATGTTCAAGCAACCCACAGGAAAGACATAGAAAACAGTAAAAAAAAAAAAAATAGAAATAAAAAACAGCAAAAACCCAAGATAAACCAAAACCAAAACATAAAATGGCAGATTTAAGCCCCAGCATATCATTACAGTAAATGCAAATGGCCTAAGGCAAACCAAATATTTGAAAATTGGGATGTTCCTGGATTACAGAAACATAATAGCTTACACTATTATCATAAACTTATGCAATATTTGTATTTGTTTACAAATTACACTAATAGAATTTATTTTAGGGTGCAATAATTTTGTACCATTTATAATATTGTACCAATGTGTACATGGTATAAATAACACATCAGGCTCTCAGCTAAGTCCTGCTTGGCACAGGTAAGCCTTCAGTGGTGGCCACCATCATCAGGACAGTAATTATGTGGGCCTTCTCATTATTTGCTTGCTCTGTATGTCAAGTTTCCTCAGGGCTGTCTCAGGTGCCTTACTCATCCACTATGCACACTACGCCTGAATGACCTCATCTAAACCCATTGTTTCAATGCCACTCCTACCAGAATCAGCAAAATACTCAGCACACACATTACAAATTCCCTTCAACCAGTCCCCAGGTTTGGTACTCACCTCATTATTCTCTAGGCAGCCACCTTTAAATCAGTTGGAATTTGGAAATGAAATCTTTTCTTTGTTCTAGACAGATACTCATGAGTGCCTATTCTGAGTCCACTAACTTTTCCTGACTTCATTTCACAAACCATTCCAAGGGTCCATCATAAAAGTCCATGCTGAAATCTACTTGAAACTAAGAACACGGAAAGAAAAATTGGAAAAATAGTGATTGGCAAAACAGAGATTTATCATCTTAGAAGGGATTGGCAGAGGCCTTGGAACTACTTTTCTATTTAGAGGAAAAGACCTGAGACAAGCTTCTAAGAATCGAAATGCTCTGGAACAAGCTATCCTAACAGTGAGGGATTTATTGCATATTGTGTAACAATCACTGAAGAACATGGAATAATTTTTCCCGAGACAAGCTAGTAAACTATTAATTCTTTAATAATACATTGTATTTGTTTTACTACGTTAAGAAGAGGAACTCTCAGTCAGCCTGGTGTAATTGATTCATTTTACAAAAGGAAGCCAGGGTTCACAAGCGGCAGAGGTACACCTAAAATCCATTTCTCCCCCCCTTCCAAGTCTAAATTTCTGCCATTTAGTTTGTCATTTACACTACTGCATATGCATACTGCTGTGCAATGCCAACTAATTTTACAAAACTCACATATATCCTTTTATAAAAAATCTAGTGTAAATACTAAAAAAGATAATTGTCTCCATTCTGCACTGAACCAAACCAGCTCTGGAGTGAGATGTCCTATCCCGTCTGTGGTATGAAGAATGACCTGGCAAAGATGCTCACCTACTAATTCCCAGAATCAGTGAGTATGTTAAATTACATGGAAAATAAGGTTGCTAATCAATTGGCCATGAAATAGTGATTATCCTGGGTTATCCAGGTGGGGCCCTAAGTGTTCTTAGGGTCCTTACATCATGTGGAAGAGGCAGGCAGTACTCAGTGTCAATGACTTGATATGAGAATCAACCAGCCGCTGCTTTCAAGATGAAAGAAGGCCAAACAAAGCAGGCAAGAAAAATAGATTCTCCCAGAAAAGAACTCAGCCCCACCGACGCTTCCCCCTCCCCCAACACATTTTTAACCCAGTGAGATTCCTTCAGACTTCTGAGCTACAAAACTGTAAAATAATAGGTCTGTGTTGTTTTAAGCTACTAAGTTTGCAGGACTTCATTAGAGCAGGTACAGGAAAACTAATACACTTTCCATAGTTGATTTCATGCTTTCCTGGGGCCTTCAAGAGTTGGAGCCTGCCTATGAAAGTGTCTACCAGAGAGGAATAAAATGATTATTGGTACTAATGCAGGCAACTAAGCAATTTGTTCCTTCATAAAATAAAAGCCCCCTCTCAAAATTCAGTTCCAAAAAACATTTATTGAGCCCCTATGAGATGGGACATGGTAAAGAGGACAGCCCCACTGTTTATCCTCAGCTGGTACATCTCTTACTAGTCCTTTCAGTCTCCTATAATGGAATGGAAGCTTTGTTCAGAAGCTCCGAATCTTCTTGTTAGAGAAGAGTGATGTTCACAACAAATGGAAGATCTGCTTCATTTTCTAAATAAAAAAAAAAGGGGGAGTTACCAAGAAAAACGAGAGACACTAGTTTTCAAAAGATCAGACCCTGTCTTTCCCACTGCCCACTGTGACTTTAGACATGTGAATTTCTTTCAGATGTAACTCCTTATTCTTCCTCCCTCTCTCCTTGTGCCTCAACGGAGATATTTACACACTGTCCAGGTAGCCATCTTACTTCATGAAAAAACCATTTTAGAGGCTTCCAGAAAAGCCAAAGTCGAGGCCAAGTATTAAAACTGGGGACCTCCTGATTCAGAGCTCCAAGGCTTTACAGTTTTTAACTAAATTATATGTTCTGTGCATTGGAAAATCTGATGCCTTCTCTTCCACCTCTCCCTTTTTAGATTCCACATATTGAACTGGAACCCGTGTCCTAGACATATTGGAAAAACGGAATCCTGGAATGCCAACTTAATCTTGGAAAACTCTAGGAAGAAGAGTTTATCCTATGCTAGCATAGTTGCTGAACATCCAGACAGACTTGCAAGATAAACTTCAGAGAGTAAAGAGGTTGCCTTTGAGTTCCATGTGAGCTTTTCTAACTGATCTCAGCATCTGGGAAGTCATCAGTTTGGACTCCTTTCCCAGTGTATGTAAACCAGCACTGAACATGGTATCAAACCCCTGTTAAGGGATCAGCAAGAGAGAAGGAACTTACAGAAAAGTAACGAGATGGACTCATTGCTTCCCACAGAGGTGCTCGGCTCGTCTGCAATTAAGAAATGATTGGTTATATTCACTTCATAAGGATTGCACGCAGTATGTCTAGCATTCAGGTAAGAGCCTCAAGTAGCTCTGGTAAACGGAAGGCTCCACTAAGTCTGTGGCACCCAAACCTTCTTTCTCCTAACTGCCAAGGCACTCTGCCATGCCTGAAATCCTACCGGTAGAAATGGAATCCAGATGCACTCCATGAAGAGCATCTGGTTGAAGGGGAGGTCTCCACTCATTCAACTGGCATACCTTCATGTGTAAGAACTGTATCCCCTCTACTCCCCCAGAAGCTGAGCAAACATGGCACCTGAGTCAGAAGGGTGCAAACATAGGCAGAGTACCTCCCAGAGTCTTACTTCTTGAGTCTATCCTGGAACACCTCCCAAGGGAAAAAAAAAAAAATCCCTCAAAGACCGAGAAGAGGCAAAAAAAAGACAAAGATGGTCTTCTAGTCATGGGCTCTTCTGAATGAGCAGCAGCGACATCTTCTAGAAATAAAGGAGTAAGGTTCTTTTTTTTTTAAAGATTTTATTTATTTATTTGACAGAGAGAGAGAGAGCGAGAGCAGGAACACAAGCAGGGGGGGTGGGAGAGGGAGAAGCAGGCTTCCCGCTGAGCAGGGAGCCCGATATGGGGCTCGATCCCAGGACCCTGGGATCATGACCTGAGCGGAAAGCAGACGCTTAATGACTGAGCCACCCAGGCGCCCCAGGAGTAAGGTTCTTAATTTAAAATTTAAAGGTTGGATTTTCTCTTCCTATTAAGAATCAAAGCTTCTCAATATATATTTATGTCAAATCACTATGTTGTACACCTTAAACTTATACAATGTTATATGTCAATTATATCTCTATAAAACTGAAAAAAGTTAAATAAATGCATTCTATAGAGAAAAAAAATAAAGAGCCTTATTTTATTGGTAATTTCCATAGTCAGAAAGCATCTCTTGATAAGCAGGTATGGATCCAGTGTATTAGCAGAAATGACCTGATGGATATTGTAGTCAAACATGAGATGCTAATGCCCCATGGGAGGGGGCAGGAGGAGACATCATTAATTCTTTAATCAACCACTACAGTTTAGGTAGTTAAAACACAATACTGAAGTAGAGCTTCCTGTTGCAAATGATGTATATTCCTCGAATAAATGATTTGATTGATCTGACACAAGAGAGAGAGGGAGGGAGTGCATAAGCAGGGGGAGTGGGTGAGGGAGAAACATCCATGCTGGGCTCGATTCCAGGACCCTGGGATCTTGACCTGAGCCAAAGGCAGATACTTAACCAACTGAGCCACCCTGGCGTCCCTAGAGAAAGATTTTAAAGCCAGGGAAACTACCCTTTTTTAATAGGCCTTTCCACTAATATACAATTTCTAGATTCCTCCAACTACTACCTGCAATACCCCCAATATACTTACAGCAGGGCTGGAAGACAGTAGATCTCAATAAATATTAGCTATTATTTGCAGATATAAGGATCAGATGGTATAGAAATTTGCTTTTGTAGGTAAGACCCAAGGGTCTTTCTTAGCCCAGGCATCCCTTAAAGTATCAGGGTTTATTTGTTCGGGGTAGAAGGCATCAGAATTTTACGGCCCCTTGGCTAAGTGGAAGATGAAAAAATGAAAGGAGGTGGAGACTTGAAAGAGGGATGGGCAGAGATAGGACCACTGCTTAATTCATGAAGCTTCTAAACTCCTTTTCTCTTGTTCAGTCTATATTCAAGTAAGATTTACATTTACCATAACCTTCTCTCAAAAAGTTCTCTATGTAAACTGAATTATAATGAACTAGAAAAGAGAAGGAAATTGTTAATCCCTTTTTGGCCACCACATCCTTTGATCCATTGGAGACACCAGGGAGCGCCTCCTCGTTGAGAAGCCCAGAAGGCTGGTCCTGATCATGTCAGGGCAAACCTCTGAGATGAAGCTATGTTGGCATTCAACCAATTCCAATTTCTGACACTCTGGGAAAATGCTTGAATTTTCCTCAATTATCAGAGAACTTTTGGCAAAATTTACTCTACCTCAAAGCAGCAAAAGTATCCCCAAATGTGTAAGTTACCACAGGAAATTTCTATGCAATAACCTATAATAAACAAGAAGAGAGAGGGAGGGAGGAAGAAATTTCTGCATTTTTCTGAAATTATGAATCCTTACCCATGGCTTTAGTTGTTGCTTCCTCAAGGCTATGAGTGTTTGATTCCACCTCAGTAGATAATTCTACAACAAAAAAATGGAAGATAGGCATGATCATAAGCTTACATAGGGGAATCAAATACACTGGAGGAAAAATGCAAAAAATGGGAGCCCACCCATTCCCGCCCAGGCCTCCTCTGAAGCCAAACCCTCACGTACCGAAAGCTTGTGTGTCCTCAAAATGCACATCCGTGGTCGATTCTACGTCACTAATGGAGACCAGGTCAGCGGTGGACTCCAGGTCGGCGGGGGACTCCGGGGCGGCGGGGGACTCTGGGGCAGCGGTGGACTCCAGATCAGCGGGGGACTCCGGGGTCGCGGTGGACTCCAGGTCAGCACTGAACTCAGGGGTCGCGGTGGACTCCAGGGTCTCGGGGGACTCCAGGTCAGTGGGGGACTCCGGAGTGGCGGTGGACTCCAGGGTCTCGGGGGACTCCAGGTCAGCGGGGGACTCCGGGGTGGCGGTGGACTCCAGGTCAGCGGGGGACTCCGGGGTGGCGGTGGACTCCAGGTCAGCGGGGGACTCCGGGGTGGCGGTGGACTCCAGGTCAGCGGGGGACTCTGGGGTGGCGGTGGACTCCAGGTCAGCGGGGGACTCCAGGGTGGCGGTGGACTCCAGGTCAGCGGGGGACTCCGGGGTGGCGGTGGACTCCAGGTCAGCGGGGGACTCCGAGGTGGTGGTGGACTCAGGGGTGGTGGTGGACTCTGTGGTGGCCAACTCTAGGTCAGCAGTGGACTCTAGTTCAGTGGTCAACTCAAGGGCATTAATCAAATCAAGTTCATTAATCAACTCAAGGTCAGTGATCAAGTCTAGGTCAGTAATGAATTCTAGAGGAGCCAAAAAGAATAAAAAAAAGGAGTATTTTATATGTATACTTTCTGGGAAGACTGTTTTCACCATCTCTACACCATTCCAAGCTAGATCTCCTTCCGGGAAAAGCTGGAACATAAAAGCGTATATTGATACGGTCTCACCCCAAGTTTCTCTTCTGCCAAGTGCTAGAAAGTGCAGAAGACTAACTGCCATCCAGGAGTGTCCCCCTCAAAGCCCCCTACACCACCGTCCTTTGAGGGGGGGGTCAGTGTAGGAAGGAGCATTCAATACTGTGCCTCTGTATGCAAACTGGTCAGATTGGAACAGAATAAAAATTCCAAGAATATCCCCGCTATAATCCTTCCAGGTCCCTGACAACAAACACCAAAAACCAAAAGGAGGCAAGGAGCTAGGAAACAGCTCTTTCCAAGACATATAAAATAGAATCAACTCTAAAATGGGCTGTCCTATCCTGTTTTCACTGAACGGGTTAAGTCTAGGACCTCATTTTCTGGTCTGTCCCATAGAATGCACAATCCAGACATTTGGGGGCTTGCTTACCATATGCAGTAAAGAACCCCAAGCCCAGCATCTGAGAAAAGTGACAGCTACCAGAGGGAGCACTGGGAGGAAGAGGATGGGGGAAAGTAATTATTTTAATGCCAATGAATGAACACCCCCTCTTCCTGAGAGATAAATTGAATTCAGAAAGAAAAGAAAGCTTTGGGAGGGAAGCTTTCTTTCTGTCTGGTTCATGAGAACACCTGTCTCTTTCCTTTCTCAGTGTGATTCACAGGTTTCCAGACGCACTGATTTCCATTGCACAGGACTGAATTAGTTGCTGAAGCACTTTGAACTATACTCGTCTGTAAAATGAGGATTCAGCCTAGGACTTTTCAACCTGCACTAAATAGAATGAAGACTCTTTAGAGCCCAAGAGTGAATAGGACCCCGGTAAACCCTCACTAGTTCTCCCGTCACCCATCCTCAGCCCATCTGGCCCAGCCTTACTACCCTAATACCTAGGTCAATTCAAGCACCTAGTCCCCATCTTAAGCTTAGCCACTCGACGTGTCCAAGGCTTCAGAGCTCAGCCACCCACCCATCCCCACCTTAACACCAAGTTGACAGTCACTTTACAACATTCACTGCTGGTCTCTGTTTCTCTTTCTGCTCCTGCAGAAAAACACACACACACGCACACACGCACACACACACCCCATAAAAGAATTTTAGTTCCATTCTCCAACAGACTTCCTAGTGGTCCACTTACCCTGGTGTATTACGGGGTAAGCCACAACTAGGGCGAACCAGGCTGTGAGTACCAGGGTCTTCGCGAGCATCGTGCCAACGGGGAGCACGTGAACGTAAGGGAGGTGGTAGGTCCCAACTGTGCAGGACAGAGTTCCTTTGAGCTTTTATGCAACCCACAGCCCCAGGTCCCTGAGGGTGGCATTTTCAGGTGGCTGTTAAGAAAAAAAAGGAAAGAAAGAAAATCAAGCCTCGCCCACATAACTTTGAGAATGCCCCTGGAGCAAAGGCGGGAAAGGGAACTGGGGGCAGGGTGAAGCAAGGAGTATGGAAAACTCTGATAAGGACTTGGGCGAAATTAGGTTGTCCCTTAGCCATTAGCACCCACTATCTGCTTCTCAAAGAGGCAGGGGAGAAAGCTAGCTCTACCTGACCAGAGGTTGCAAGTTTGTCATCCAGGCTGGGGCCAAATACTGCTTTACAGAGCCCCTGAAAAGCTACTTGATATCAGAGCATGGGACTAAGAACCACAGTCAGAGCCTGCTGGCTACTCTTATTCTAAGGGAGAGCCCTGTTGCAAAGTCTTCTCCCCACCATACATACACCCCGGCAGCCGGTCCCTTAAAGAGAACTGTCAAAGTAAGAATTACTACTATTACTACTACATACTAACAGAAATAGCTAAAATCACAAGGTTTCACATGTGTTACTATCTTATTTGATTCTCACCACGATCCTATGTGTGAGGCATTATTATCTCTATTTTTTTGGTGAGGAGATGAGAGGCTGAGAGACTAAGTGACTCTGGATTCACATGAAGCTACGCTCTGCGGGAAAGTCATTGACATCAGGTACTTCTTGGCAGTGAGGACTGGCTTCTGCTACTGACGTTCCCAGGCCTCTGGGGGGCAGTGTAAGTTGCCATGCGCTCTCCGCGGCAGCCCTGACTGGAGGACCCCTCCCAGGAGATGCAGACTGAAAACAGGCGGGTGGGGCTGGCTCACGGAAGTCAGCCTGGGCGCTCAGGTACTAGTCACGACCCTTCCCTGGAAAGGAGGTCTTTATCGCAGATGCACGACTGCCATCCCGGGGTCAAACTCCCGTGAGGTCTGTACGTCTCAGTTTTTTTTTTTTTTTTTAATTTTATTTATTTATTTGAGACAGAGAATGAGAGAGAGAGAGAGAGAGCACATGAGAGGAGGGAGGGTCAGAGGGAGATGCGGGACTCGATCCAAGGACTCCAGGATCATGACCTGAGCCGAAGGCAGTCGCTCAACCAACTGAGCCACCCAGGCGCCCCGTCTCAGTTTTCTTTACTTAAAAGGTCACAGTAGAGTCCTACTCCTCAGAAACCACAGGGTTTACAATAGCATTGAGAGAGAACTCTTCAATGATAGTAATAATAACAGCTCATGCTTATGAAGTGCTTAACTGCGTGCCACAGGCCTATAGTATTTTATCCAATACCACACCTAAGGTAATTTTATTATTCTCCTTTTCTAGATAAAGAAACCAGGGCACAGAGAGGTTAGGGAACTTACGAAAGGTCACACAGTAAGTGTTAACAGAATCAGGGAGCAAATCTGTAGGCAGTCTGTTGCTAGGACCGATGCTCTCAACCACGCTACTATTCGTCCCCCAGCCCAGTTACGGCCCTGCCCTCTTCTTGGCCAGTTTTGTTCTGTGAAGTGTAGCACGGCACAGGCTTCACCTTCAAGGTGGGGGAAACACACACATATACTAGAGAACATTTTGTTCTTCTGCAAACTACCTTTCCTTGGCAAGCCCTGTGCAATGAAGTATAACCCAAACACAACAGTCACGAGCTTGGGAAGCAAGCAGCTCTCAAAAAACTTGCAGGCAAAACCATAGGACTCAAATGAGACAATAATCCAATAAGTCATAGGTCAGTGGAAGAAGGGGGAGTTTTATCTGCATCAGCTACAATATGAGACTATTTCCTATCCTGGAAAATGGCAAGAATCGACTTCCAGATGTGCAAAGTAGGATCTCTCTTTTTTTTTAAAGATTTTATTTATTTATTTGAGAGAGAGAATGAGAGAGAGCACATGAGAGGGGGGAGGGTCAGAGGGAGAAGCAGACTCCCTGCCAAGCAGGGAGCCCGATGCGGGACTCGATCCCGGGACTCCAGGATCATGACCTGAGCCGAAGGCAGTCGCTTAACCAACTGAGCCACCCAGGCGCCCCAAAGTAGGATCTTTTTGGGAGAGAGCTGGACTCAGGAGTTCCGGTACGAAGGGACAAAAATGACCAACATCTTCTAGAAGCTTTGTTTGGCAGCTCAACCACCCAAAATACAGATACTGCTTTAGATGGTCTTCTAAAGGTCATGGTTCCATTTTTATATGCCTTAGTTTCTCCCAGAGTCAGTGAAAGGACATCCACCTGGTGACCTCTATATTGAAAAATGGGAGCAATTTGGTTTCCCCTCCTGAAAACATGTCACTGTTTCTCACCACCTGAGTATTGTTAGACGATTGACACAGAGGGTCCTGGAGAGGAACCAAGCTGAATAAAACTGTACAGTTATAATCACTGGTTTTTATTTTTTATTAACATGGGGTTATCATTCTGTTATGTATTATTAAGTTGTTTGGCCTTCTTGACTTTACATATGCTAGCTAATGTTATAGAATCATGTAATCTCAAGGCTTGAAGGTATATTAAATTGTATCCAGCTCAACCAGACCTCCAGTGTCTCTTTTTCTAATATAAGAGTAATACTTTTTTCCTTATATACCGCACCTATCAAGTGGCCTGACAGCCCTAGGGATGGGGAACTCACTACCTTGAAAAGAGTAGTTCATATTTGTACAATTATTCCTTGCAATGGTTCACATATGCCTTGCTGTTGACCTCAGTTTTATTTGGGGGGCCATATGTAAAAAATTGGGCCCTTCTTCATAAAACAGTTGACCTCAGTTTTATTTTGGGGGCCATATATAAAAAATTGGGCCCTTCTTTTCCCTTCAGATGTCAGAAGTAGCTATCATTTTATCAATTTCTTCACCATCCTTTTTTTTTTTAAAGATTTTATTTATTTATTTGATATAGCGAGAGACAGCAAGAGAGGGAACACAAGCAGGGGGAGTGGGAGAGGGAGAAGCAGGCTTCCCGCCGAGCAGGAAGCCCAATATGGGGCTCGATCCTAGGACGCTGGGATCATAACCCGAGCGGAAGGCAGACGCTTAATGACTGAGCCGCCCAGGCGCCTCTTTCTTCACCATCCTAAAAGAAGTGTAAGTTTTTCCCTATCTTGTTTCCTCAAATTTCTGTAGCACCTAGCACAGTGTCTGGCACACTGGAAATGAGAAAAATATTTGTTAATAAATTAATGACTAGATGACTCCTGGTCACTGGTCTCTGCTCTCATTTGTCCATGGTCTTCTAAAAAGGAAACACTAGGGCGCCTGGGTGGGTCAGTCATTAAGCGTCTGCCTTCGGCTCAGGTCATGGTCCCAGGGTCCTGGGATCAAGTCCCGCATCGGGCTCCCTGCTCGGCTGGAGGCCTGCTTCTCCCTCTCCCACTCCCCCGCTTGTGTTCCTGCTCTCGCTCTCTCTCTCTCTCTGTCAAATAAATAAATAAAATCTTTAAAAAATAAATAAAAAATAAAAAGGAAACACTAAAATTAAATGATCAAGATTTGACCTAATTAGAGTGGGGGGAGGGGGAAATGATCACTCTCCTTTCTGGAAATTACATGACATTAATCTGTTTGTATTAAATTGATTTGTACCTTAAATGCTATTAAATGCTGAAAGGTGGGCCTGGCAGAAAGTATGGGGAATTTCCCGATAGTGTTAAAGGATCTCAAAAGCCTTTGCATTTGTTTCTTCCAGAGTGAGATCAGTTTCAGGCCAAGAGGGTTGAGCTAGGAGTGCTATCCTATGAATGTGTCTCTGTCCCTCCCGAATTCCCACCCACAGCAGACACAGGCCCTGGAGCACCCAGAAGCATTTGACCCAGGGTAAGGTGCTTCATTCATTTCCCCCCTGTCAACAGTCACTCTTCCCTTAAGGAGCAGTTTCCGGAGACTAAGACTCAAGTTTCTCCTCTGGGGAACAGGGAGCCCAGAATGGGCCATCTAACCTCACAGATCAGATATGGATAAAGACTAGCCGAGACTTCCAGGGTCAGACCAAGCAATTTTCTAACATCTGTTCAGGGACCCAGCAATTACACTAAGTACCCAGAACAATTCAAAAGAAGCCCCCAAACGGATTCCTTCTTTGGAGTTATAACTGTGGAGGATGCCAACGTGTATCATAAAGGCAGTTTATAATGAGATACTAAGAAATCTAAAGCAGTGCCAGGAATTCAAAACAACGTCTATTTATTTAACAAGTGTTTATAGAGCAACTGGGAAATATGGTTACTAAACCAGAAGTACTAGGCAAAGAGGCCAAAATTGCAGACTCTGGGAGCCAGTAGCCCGAGTATCAGTCCTGGCTCTGCAGCCATGGGCAAGTTACCTAACTCACAGGACTTTACTTTTCTCTTTTACAAAAGGGAGATAAAAGTGGTTTACTTCAGGGCTCCTGGGTGGCTCAGTCGGTTAAGTGTTTGCCTTTGGCTCAGGTCATGATCCCAGGGCCCTGGGATCGAGCCCAAACCCTGCATCGTGCTCCCTGCTCGGCTGGAAGCCTGCTTCTCCCTCTCCCTGCTCTTTCTCCCCCACACACACCCAATAAATAAATAAATGAAAGTATAGAAGAAAAAAGTGGTTTTACTTCATTCACTGGATTTTGTAAGGATTAAATTAATATATTCGTGTTAAAATGCCTAGAATAAGGAAAGTACATGATAAAAATTAGTTTACTATTAGGTGCCGAAATGAAAAAAGCCCAGGTTCTGGAGGAGTTGATAACATTGTTTTACAGCAGGAACAAGATGGGGCATTGCTCTGGAAAGTTCCTTGGGGAAGATGGAACAAGCTGAAGTAAGAGTAGAATTCTTTGAATTCAATAAACATATCTTTGGGTTTATCTTTGGTTTATAGAAGGTAAACAGAAAGGCCTCTAGGCAAAAAGAAGTAATAGTGTATTGGAGGAGACAAAAACGTGCATGAATGGCAATGTTCAAGGTGTCATGTCATGTCAACCATTATCAATTTGAGAACATAGAGGAAGAAAGTTATCAATAAGATGGCTGGAACCATCTTTTTTTTTTTTTCAAACTTTTTTTTTTTTCTGG